ACAGTGGCCACTAAAAAGTTTGAATCTTCCCATACGCGAAACTTCCCGCACTTCACATTGCAAAAATCAGAAATACAAAGCAGAAAAAATGATTTCACAAATTTTCGGCTGGAATAAAGGAAACCTTATCAGTCATTACCAGTTGCGTTGGTGACCATTTTAGACAGTGAATGTCCATCCTTATTTGTAGCGCTCGAAAGTTGATCAAAATTTTCAAAAATGCCCCTGTTTAAACCGGCTTTTTACCGAAGTTCCCTTCGTATTTGTCAGGATATTTGCGATTTCTTTTTCTCGTTCTTGCTGGAGCAAGGGGAAATTTTTAGAAGGTGGCGTTCATGAAACATGTGGGAGTTCTAAAAATAGTTCGATATTTTGAAAATGCTGCAGGTAAACGCATTTCGTCGAGAGTCCGAAGAGGCAAAAGCACATCTGGCAAAAGTGAAAGTTCGATTGGGTGAACTGGAGAAGGAATGTGTTGCGTATCGTGAAAAAGCGATGGCCATTGATGCGAATCGTAACAGTACTCTTGCAACATCTTTGGAAAAGATCGCTGCACAGGTTAGCGTTTACGAGGGAATTACAAATTTTCGAAGTGTTATGGGGGAAGTTGTAGCTGCAGTCGTCATCGAATTCGCGAAGGATGCATAAGTGTGATGCAAATTAGAGTTTGAAGAAATTAACACCCGTGTTCAGGAAAGGCTACGCAGCAAAATACCCTCAAATTGCTAGTTCGACAATGGGCCATGATCACTTTTAAGTGTATTTTTGATTTTTAATACAACACTGAATCTTGCAAGTAGCTCTTGCTGATGTGTAGCAGTATTGATCAGCGCATAAAGCAAATTTTGCAACAGCAGCAACGAGTTCACAAACTGCGTTTTTTTTTTTTTTTATGCGTTTACAAACCGATTGGTTGGAGAAATTGTTGAGAAGGTTTTTTGCTTTTAATAAGCAACTTCAGAAGTTCATGGGTTTTTCCAGGAGCGAGAAATCGCGATGCTGAAGAGTGAGCTGGAACGCAATGCACAATTAGTAAAAGATATGGATCGGATCAAGAAGGAGCATGAATTTCTGGAGCTGCAAAATGAATCACTGAATGCAATGCTCGATTCGAAAGAAGCAGCCATTCGCGATCTCGAAGATAACATCCTTGTTAGTTCCCTCACGTTTTTCATACCGTTTCTCCAGAATAGTGCTACTGAGAAATGAAAACTCTTCTATTTCTCTTGAATTAAGTTTTCGAAAGGAAAACGAAGTACACGCCGCCTCTTTGATGTATTACAACTAGCTGCATTAAATAGCCCCAGACGCTTCATTCATAATTATTGCTAGAATTTAAATGAGTGTCCGTTCTGTAGGCTATGAAAATGGATGCTGCTTGTAAACTGGAAAGTGGTTCGGCGACCCCGAAAGCGGATGCTTTCTCATTATTCGATATCGATTCTACGAAATTTTTTCCCGACACAAAAACGCCGATTACATCCGGCGCGGTAAAGTTGTTTTTACATTATTTTTCACTTTCAATTATCCCAGAAATAAGCTTGTGATTTCGTTTACCATTACGCGCATAGCAGCTGTTCATACAAAAAGCAACTCCGATAAATTTTTGCTGTTTGAGAAAGTTAGGCAGTTTCACTGTGGATTCTACGCTTTTGGCCAGTTCACATTTTTTCATCCTTTTGGTAATCGAAATAATGGCCTCCTCTAGAAATCAGTTTCTCTTCCTGAAAGGGCCCTACGTGATTTCTACGTTTTCAGACGCTTACCTTTCCTGCATTACGGTTGTCGTTATTTTCAAATCAGTATGCCTGTTTGCCGCTGCGTCAACCTGAATAAGTATTGATTACAGATCCTAACCTTAGACTAAATTTTCCAAGACGTCAGCTAAAGCGAAAGGGTTTAAGCAGCTGAGCTTTTTTACTTTTTATGCGTTTTGTGCTGTGTAACAGCAGTACAAAACGCATATTGTTACGGGATTGTCTGTGTG